ATATATATATATTTGACAAAAATACTACCACTACTTGTGTACAAATTTGAAATATAATTTGCGAAAGACAATTGCCCCATTTATTTAAACAAATCTTAATAGGTGTAAGGGTTAGGGGTGGGGTTATGCATGTTTATAATTGTGTCTACTTTGTGTGCACCAGATCTTTGTAAGTTTTAAAGTATAAAACTGTAACTGTTTTAAAATGAATCTAAATCATCTGATGCAGATTATTTGATTATATCTTTATCCCCTTCAGGAATGGAGGAGGATATGGATGGACAGGGGACTAACCAGTTCTCCAGCCCAGACCTCTACATGCAGTCTGGTTGTCCTGAAGATGGGGACATGGGTTGGGTGACCTGGGCTTGGTCTTTTGTTCCAGCCATCGTAGGCACAGAGGAGGAAATGGAGGAAGGCCTCTTCCAGCAGAGAGAGACAGAAGGCATCTCCAACAATCCACAACAACGCACACCCAAAGACCCCATTGTGTCCATAGGCTTCTACTGCACCAAAGCTTCTGTTACCTTTAAGGTAAATCAACTGTTTAAAGAAATGCACACATTGTCATGAATTAGTTCTTTTATAAATACCATATTGAAGTCAGAATGTGGGTAAGCACACATTGGGTGCATGACAGTTCCGTGTGTACAAACATAAAATACAAAAATAAATAACCCCATCTTAATGTCAAATATTAAAATGAAATGGTACAAACAAAGGTAGACGAAGTGCCTTAAGATTTGCCAAGGTTTAAAAAATGTCAAGTATTCTGGATCACACTGCCAGGAAATACATTTGATATACAGTGATGCAAATTAGTCGCTTTTCAGCGCCTCCCGCTTTTTTAACGCTGATTTGGGTGACTTGTGTAATTCGTGGAGAACCGAAGAGTTTTCGTTTTGGGGGGGGTCCGTCAGTCCATCCGTCCGACTGACGGACGGACAACTTCTCACTTCAAAAAAGAAGAAGAAATCTAGATCGCAAAATAATTAAACAAGCGAGTGCCTGTTTTTCCTGGCCAAGGACAGGTTCATTGAACACAACACGAGCGTCTCGTCTCGTCTCGTGTGGAAGGTGTAACGGAGAGCATCGGAACGCTGCTCCAGCTCTTCAAATATCGCAGTACCCATAAGGAGCCGTACACATGCCGCAGTGTTTGCTAGTCTGTGTCTTTAGTTGTAAGCACAGTGGCGATCTGTTGTTATTAGCATCTGGTTAGCTAGCTATGCTAACGAATTTAAAGAGCTTTTCTACAACCAGGTGGAAGAGAGCTCTCTCCTGAGAGGCTCAAATAACCTCAGCTCAGTGAGGTTAAGGCACACCTTGATATGATCATTATAGTTATTAATGAGACATTAGATACTCAATTATTAACAGGTATAAAATACTATATGACAGTAACAAAAAAAAGTTGTTAAAAATAACAAGAATAGAGTTTGAAAGGGGAGTGATTTGTAAAATATCCATAAAGAAAAATCTGTCATTGTCAGATGGTATATTACGCTGTTTTTTTTCTGTATCGAATAGTTCTCTCTTTTTTCACCATACCTGTGTTTGCATCACTGGATATAAATATAATTAAGGGTTAAGAGGTACTTAAAATAAAATATATTTTAGATAAACAAATGCATTAATTACAGTGGCTATAAAAAATAAATAATTATATCCAGAAAAACATAAAAATATGGATAGATGGTGAAGATAAAAATATGAAGTTGTCTATTTCAGCAAAGGTAAAAACTATGTTGTATAGGTGGCTATTCTTAGGGAAATGTTGCAAACATTGTAGAGATGAAGGGACAGACATAAAGATATTAATGTATTAAGTATTTTACGTTTTCTTGAATCTTATACTGTATATTGTTGTGATTTTCAGTTTGAGAGTAGCTTGATCTTCAGGAAGTAACAACCCTCTTTGTCTCTGTGTGGTTTAGGGGAGGGTAGTGTAACCACTAACTGGCGTCTCGGGTCACGTTAATGTTTTAAACACCAACATGGTATGATGACTATTCAGGGAACGGATTCAAACTTTAATCCTGTCTGCTCAGAGTATCTGTCTGTCTGTCTGTTCTGTCTGTCTGTGTCTGTCTGTCTGTCTGTCTGTCTCTCTGTCTGTCTGTCTGTCTGTCTGTCTGTCTGTCTGTCTGTCTGTTCTGTCTGTCTGTCTGTCTGTGTCTGTCCGTCTGTTCTGTCTCTCTGTCTGTGTCTGTCCGTCTGTCTGTCTGTCTGTCTGTCTGTCTGTTCTGTGGTTCACTTGTGTTGAATCCGTTTAATGGGACAAATACCTTTAAGGAGAGGTAATCAGGGATGCTAGTAGCTTTTAGTTTAACTGGCTTTATTAAGTGTTAGTACTCATATGCTATGCTACGTTCTCAATCGGTTAGATTGTTTCAGGCCTAGCTTCATTCATAAATGTCCCAACAGTCCAGCTTGGGTAATGCTTAATTGGCAATCTTTTTTTTTGTAATTAGAGTTATCATAGAAAGACAGAGCAATTCATAATCATATAATTTCACCTCCTTGCTCATGGCTCCCACGGGACCTGCGGGTCAGATAGAGTGACCTCTGCATGTGATCAAACCATCCGAATGGAAAGAGGGCAAGGAGTGAGGGTGAGAGAGTTTTCTCCATCAGTAGGGATAATATGGCACAGCTGCTCTTTGCTCAGCACCTGCTTCCTGTGTTAAAAGTTGAATGGGTTAGGACCTTCACTACAACCACATTTTTAAAACTGGACAACCTCAAAGCATCACAGCTCTGTCCCCCTTTCACTTCGAACAACTAGGTGGCCAGACCCAACCCACACTATCTCTACACACAGAAAAAACGCTCTTCAAAATCCTTCACCTGAATACTCAACACACAATAACTTATGCCTTTTCTTTGATAAATTCGACTTAATACTAAACAAACATTGACTTACATTTTTCCCCTACTTTAATAAATGTTCCTGAATACTCAATAAACACATCAAGTTCTTGGTATCTTGAGCTGTTTTGTCATGTTCTGATTGTATAATCTTATAAAGCTAGAAGGGGCCTAGACAAATGTCATCTGTCCTTGTGTGGATGTAATCATTTCTGTGTTTTTTTAGCATTAGTTTCTAATGCCTTTTTGCCCTATACGCTAATCCTTAAATAGCTTTTATATATTTTTCAAATCATATATCTGTTTCATTAATCAATCGTGAGCACACACGCACCCTCACAAAATGAGACGCATATTTTTTTAAGTGTTGACATTTTGTGACATCTCTGTATTGTTGTCGTAACCGTTACTTACTCTGTCAAACAGCGCATAGCTTTCACTAGTTGTCTCCAGATATGGATTGCTGCCATTTTAAGACTTGATTAATATGTTTTTTAAATACCTTATCTACTTTCTGAATGTCACAAAGTCTCAACTGTAACACAATATTTGTCTTTGTATTGCTTCACGTTCATGGTCTTTTCCTTTACTGTATATTTGTGTGACACCTTTTTAAGCATTTCCCTAATCGAAGTTGAGTGGTATCTTTACTTATAATTTAGGTTCATTTTGAACCTTTTATTACATGATTGCTGTCTCTATATTTTCAGCTGACAGAGACCCAGTCAGAGAGCAGCTACTACAGCCCTCAGAAAGTCAAGTCCAGAGAGGTCCTGTGTGTGGAACAGGAGGGGATCACTATTGAGGTAAGATGCCACAGCTTCATTCTTAAGAAATATGTATGTTTTAAAGCCATTTATTGTTTTATACTAATCTATTATCTATTAAACAGCCCCATGTCCAGTTAAAATATCAAAATAAGAAAATAGGCACACAAAATGTACAGTATATAAACATTTCTGATTACATATTATCTCAAGCTCTGGATTGCAACTTTATTTGTAATATTAAGGGTGATAAATGTTTTAATCTGAAAAATATATATTATCTTCACAACATGTACCCTTGTGCAACCATTAGACAGAACTATACTGTACAGATCGCGGTTTCCCCCTCTCTTTCCCACTATTGGTGTCTCCTTATTCACAGTTGGACAGAAGTTCATCTTATTTCCTTCCTGTATACATTTTAAAGCCGCCCAGGTCTCTAGTCTCTGCCTGTCAACACATGAGAGTTGAATCCTAGTTGGCCCCAGTCTGATCTTTTCCGCATTTGCTACTTGGTGTAAACAGATAATACAGTTTTTCAACCTTATTGGCAGTTTACCTGTATGAACTAGGAAAGGGTTTTCTGCTCCTAAGCTTACTACCACATGTGACAGTTTTGAGAGATTTCCAATTCTGGTCATTTATGCTTTTGGTGGAAGAGGGAGAGTGAGCCTTCTGAACTGGGACCAAAAGTGAGAGTGTTGAAAGGCAAAGGAATGGCTAATAAAATTTGGGAAAACCATGCCTTGTAATGATTTTGTGGTGAAATTTAATGTTTATTGGATAGCTCTCCGCTTAATTGTCGGCCGGGTAGAGCAGAGTCAACCACACTGCTTGCAGAGTCTGATGGACTGCTACCACACAATCACATGCACACACCACTCTCAGGTCTGACCCCTGATCTTTTTATCATACCAGAATAAGCCCACCTTATTGTTGAAAAGTCCACAAAAAATGGAGTCTTCATTCTTAGTAAGAAAGTAATATATTCATAGAAATTCTGTAATTCTGTTCTGTTATATAATAGCTGTTAAAGACTCTTCCTCTGTTTTTTATTCCAGGTGCTGATGATGGGGGAGCCCTTCTTTGATTGTCAAATAGGCTTTGTGGGGTGCCGGGCATTCTGCCTGAAAGGCATCATGGGAATACGAGATTTTGAAGAAAACATGAACCGACTTGAAGAGGTAACAACTGCTGAAGAACCTCAATGAAAAATGTAAAAAGCTTAAAACTTGAATGAGAAAGATAAAGAAAGAAAAAGTAAACACCAAGACGAGAGATCACTTTCACCTGAACCCTGTCTCTGCAGCCTCCATTGCTACCGAGAGCCTTCACACAGAGATGTGTTATGGTTTGTTTTGGAAAAGGCAAAAAGACATATCTTTGCCTTTTTGAAACATATGACTGTGTCAGCATCAGTCTCGCTATCTGCTCATTGACAACACTTTTGGGCTCAATCCAAATAAATGAATTTTCATCGACTACCGTATTTTCCAGACTATAAGTCGCACCTGAGTATAAGTCACTCTTATATAAAAACGTGTCGTTAAGATAAAAAAAACATTTATAAGTCTAAGCTTCGGTGTTTAAGTCTTATTTATCAACTGAAGTCTTCATCCTCTGTGCCGCTATTAAACGCTTCCGCCAACTCCGGTGGAAGTGTTTAACAGCGACACAGAGGTGTGGATGAAGCATCATGTCCTGCTTTGGGCTGTCCTCAGACTCTCCATCAGAATCTGCTCCGATTAGACCTTTCTGAATTCCGAAAGGATGATGTCGGTCGTCACTGAAGCCCATGCTGTGTCCATCCATCCCACAACATCCTGGAAAGTTACGTGATGCATCCTCCCAGTTCTTATTATACATCCATGATCCTCCCGGTTGCCGTGACTTTTTTCTTCTCCGTGGTACAGCAGTTTTCAGTTGTCACGATTGTATACAGTGCCATCTATTGGCCGGAGTTTGAACGCAGTCAGACACAATATATAAGTCGCTTCGGAGCATAAGTCGCAGGACCAGCCAGACAGGTGAAAAAAACGTGACTTATAATCCGTAAAATACGGTATGTATTAGTTGTGTGTAATTGATTATCTTTCTAAGCTAGATCTATGACGTATTTGCCAAGAGTCCTCTTTAACATTTGTGCCATTCCCGACATAAGTTGCATGCAATATATTTTCATCATCCATAGTCGTTTTTAATCATTTCACATTCAACGGCCTACATTTAATACAGCACTTGGCTACATAAAATGTGTCCCCCAACAAGATTCCATAGCAAAGAATGGTCTATTGTGTGTCCCAGGAATTACTTTCTATTGTCTACGTTCCATGGTTTTATTGAAAGGACAGTATTTTTGTGACATCTGATAAAGTATTGTTCACATTCTCATTTTCTTTTGTCACTGTAGGATGCAGTGTTCATCAGCTGTGGGGACAGCCTAAGCAGTAAAGGAATGACCTACCTCACCAATTCCCTGTTTGACTACCGCAGTCCCGAGAACAACTCTGTCAGGGCTGAGTTCATCCTGGAGACTGCTAATCACAAGGTCAACATATGGGACATCAGATATCAGAATGTTTGTTTCAGATTTTTTATGGAAACATTCTTTTTTTTTTATCTGTTTAAATAATGTAGATGTTTTGAGGAAAGATGGCAGAGACTATACCTTATGGCAGAATTAAAGCAGTCAGTTCCAAACCAGACAACAGCCAACTCAAAACACACCTCACACCTGGCCCTAAGGGCTAACACACTTATTTAACCAACAGCATTAAACATAATGAAATCAATGATGCTGTTTACATGAACAGCACATGCTGTTGACACAGTCCTCACTAAAACAAATACGTTTCTTTATTTTCAGAAATATAAAGTCTTCATTGCCAAAAAAGAGAACAAAAGATGATTCTGTACAGATATTACTGTGGCTTAAGTGACTTTCTCAAAAATGCAAGAAAGGAATACAAATGTGGTTAATACAATACTTTATCCAGGTCACACAACAATAATCCAAAAATATTACATTCAGTCTTTTTTCAGCTATTATCTGGAAAAGCTCAAAGTACAGCTCGTATCATTTTAAATCGTTACTAATTAAATACAATAGTGTGTACTTTTTAAATGCAATTTCTTATTTTTCTTTGAAATAAATCATTTAAATGTGTATAACTGCTGAATATCTGTCAGTCTCCGGGCTGATGGCTGCAGTAGAGGAATTTTCCTGCCATCTGAGCAGTAGTGTTGAAGCCATTATTAAGATGAGATAACTCTCAGCTCCAGTGTTGACTCTGCTCAGAAATGGTCATGATCCTCAATGAAGCAATTGTTTGGACATCCATCCATCCATCTGGGCGGTGGTGGCGAAGCCCATAGGTACTTGGCATGGGAACCGGAAGGTCACCGGTTCAAGTCCCCGAAAGACCAAGTGCTACCGAGGTGTCCCTGAGCAAGACACCGCTCCCTACACTGCACCCCGGGTGCCGTACATAATGGCAGCCCACTGCTCCTAACACAAGGATGGGTCAAATGCAGAATGTACATTTCCCCTCTGAGGGCCGATTAAGGGTACATAAAAAAGGTATGAAGATGAAAGAGTTAAAGGTTTTGTTGTTAATTCATTAGCGGTTTTGAAACCAGCCACTGGCTTTGATCCAAAAGCATGCCAGAGCCATTAGAGGTCCCCTAATAAATATTACTCATTAACCTGCCTTGCTGATAAGGTTCTATTGAAATGTCTGTTTAGAGAAGTTGAGTGTGTCCTGGATGGGGGTGTTGAATATGTGGGCGAGGGGGGCTTCCCTCATTCATTCTTTCTGTTTCTTGCTTGTTCACTTATTCTCTCTTTCAAACAGTGGTTTTTGCAATATAACTTTTGCTTTTAAATATTGTCTAACACAGGGTCAATAACTCCAACTTGCACACGAATAAGTGATGAGTGGTAACAGTTTATCCTGGTATATTAAAAAAGATACAAGTTTTTGCCAAGATCTAGATTGTAGTTGTTAACAATAATGATAATTGTCAATGAATAATAGTGACAATTACAAAATAGTTGAATTATATACATATTGCATAGCACTCATACTTCATACTTAAGATTGCACAAATGTACATTAAAACAGGTTTAATCAGAATTGTTGGATTTGTCATAAAGTCCTTTCTTTGAATAGATATGTCTTTCTTTCCATTAATAGTTTGTCGCGTATAAGCAATTAACAACAGAACTGATGTGTACCAAATGACTACCCCATGCACCATATACTTACTAATGCGTACATTTAGTGAAGTGTCTTCTCTTTATCATAATTTCTGAACAAAATAGTTGAAAAAGGTGGTCGGTTATCATTTCACCCCAGATTCAAGACATACAGTACCTCCTGCCATAATCAAGTCTTTTACAACAGTTCCAAATATCAGTGATATTGTTGACCTGTAAAAAAAATTCCAACAAAAAAAGATTAACCCCTTAATTACCCTTTGTTTTATCTCTAATTTGCCCCCTTTGCCGTATCCACCATGACCCCAGGCACTGGCACTCTTAAATGCTGTGAGTGTGTTTGCTCCCTTTCTGCCATGTTTACCTGACTGCTCTTGTTTGACAGGAGACCTATACGGAGATAGCAGGCATTCAACGCTTTGGTGCATTCTACATGGATTACCTCTACACAATGGAGAACAGCAGCAGCAAAGGTATTGTGTAGTTCATTCCTTCTCAAAGAGCTTGTTTGCTTAACTTGCCGGCCTTTCTTCCTTTTCTTTATACCTGTCCTGTTCTCCTTTTCTGCTTTCTTTGCTTCTCCCTTCTCCTCATCCCCATCAATCTTTTACTTGCTGTCTTTTTGATTGTTCTGTTCTGTTGTCTCGTCTTGTGTTGTCTTCTGTTCTCCTGTTCGGTTCTGGTCTGTTCAGTTCTCTTGTCCTGTCCTCTCCTGTCTTGTCTTGTCTTCTCTTGTCTTGTCCTCTCTTCTCCTGTCTTCTCTTGTCTTCTCTTCACTTCTCCTCTCTGCTCTTGCTTGTCTTGTCCTCTCCCCTCTTCTCTTCTCTTTTCTGCTCTTCTCTTCTCTATGTCAAGGAGCCCCCTGGTGACTTGAATAAAGAGCTGTTCTTGTTTGAGTCCCCTCCACCTGGTCCTTGACCCTTCCCGTCCTCACTCTCACCCCAAACTTACCTGGAGGGCGGCTGTCAGAGGTGTTTAGTCTGCACTGACATGTATTTGAGTTTGTCTCTCCCCGCTGCTTGTTGAAACACTGTTTTTCTTTACCTGTAAGCTCTTGACAAAGTGAAGCTAATTAGGTGTCACTCTTCCTCGCAGAAGCCTTAAGATAGGCAGGATTTCTCATTCCTCAGCTGCACCACTCAATAATGTTTATACAGGTCTGAACGATCTGAATTTCCCATTAACGGATAAAGTATTTCCCCTTTAATTCCAAAATATTATATTTGGCTTTAGTGTGCAATGTTCAGTGTTTTTAATTCAATGTTGTGACACCTGACTGACACCACAAGTTCTAAGGTGCCCCCCCAAACCCACCCACGTGAACACACACACACACACACACACACACGCACACGCACGCACACGCACACAAATACATCTAATACCATCTCTATGAAACTCCTTACTGTGGGTAATAGCAAAATGGTAACAGTAGAGCCTTTTGGCCCATGTCTCCCTTAATTCTAACACAACATGGTGTTAGGGCATCATGCTTCATGGAGTGGAAACGACCAGTTAGAGTGATAATTCACTTTGGCATAATTTTGGTGATATAGTGTACAGTTGTCTGTAGATCTGGTTAAACCAATTGAACAACTCACACATATTCATTGATGTGTTATTAAGAGTTGAGTGTCATCTATGCTGTCTCAACTACCTACACTTGTTCCCTTTTTGTATTCCTCTTTTTGACTAGGCTATTGTTTGCTCTTGCTGTCAGCTACAGATAATAATCTAAATTTAAAAAAAAACATTGATACTGTCATCCTGAGCTGTCAAAGTCATTTCTGACAGCAGGATAAGTGTCAGTGTAATTCCTGCGGGACGGCTGTGGTTACCCTTGCCAGTTGGAATGCTTCTCTTCTGTCAGTGTTTCTGTTCTTCTCGGACGCGGACCAGATCCAGTGTCAACTAAACAAATGAGTTTCCATTGCCATGGGACCAACATAAACTCTGAGTCAACTGAAACACTAACCAACCTAGGTCACATTCACCATTGACTTCACATTAGAGTAACGCTGCAGATTAAAAACTTTTTCCTAAATCTTTGGAAATGGAGACACTTTTAAATCATCTAAATTCCAGCTAATTTAAGCCTCCTCATCATTCCACTGACCGTTCTAACTGCAGCCATATGGTTGATATTAGGCCTAATCCATTGCAGCCAAATCTCACTGAAGAAGGGAAGGGGAAGTGGCATTGCACATGCCCTTTATAAATCCCCAGAATTCAATGGAAGTTTCACCCCATCCCCCGACCTATGCAGCTAAAATAGTTTAACTCATAGAGTTGTAAAAATGTTTGGTGCAGTGGTAGAATGTAATGAAAATAAAGAAAGTTGTGACCCTTTGTCCTCTTTCTTCCTCACTGCCATTCATCCACCCCCTTCATTGTTTTTTAATTTCTCCCTTTTTATTGCCGGGGAGCTGAGTCTTTCAAGTGGCCCCCTGGAACAGGGGCCTGTGATGAATGAAGGGACAGCTGTGTGAGAGATGTGGACATTTGGAATATTCATCATTCCAGTGGGTCACGGCTGTGAGAGCTGTTCCCTGCTGCTGTGTTACACCAGTGCCAAACATTTTTGGGGATTCTATACTTAAACACATGTACATGAAATAAAAAAGGTGACATATCCATTTGACTTGTTTTGCACTGACTGATAAAAGAATCCTCAAATTGTAATTGCACTACCCATTTAGAATTTCGCTATTGTATGCATGTTTGTTTCTGTTTGTAGAGCCTCAGGACTTCTCTGTGGTGAGTTTGGAGGAGGTAGTACCTGCCGTTCAAGAGACATCAATCAAGAGGCTTGTGGTGGGAGCTTTGGAAGTCAGACTGCACAGCAGTGCCGTCCACCGCATCCTCAAGATGGTCACCTGTGCCATGGAGCACGAGTATGAACCCTACTGCAAACCACAGCCAGGTCAGTTATCTCCTACAGTTGCTCCATCTGTTTCATTCAGCGTTCTTTAACAGCTGCAAAAACAGCCAGCTAACAAATGATAGCTTGCCATACTCCCTACACTCAACTAACACTTGATTCAATACTGTCTCTTATCATTTCTCCTTTTGTCTTCTCCTCCTTTCTACTCTGCACATGTTCAGAAAGCGCACAGTTTTCACTTTACAGTATCCTCATCACATTGTTATTTCCTTACACAACCCGTCTTTCAACACACAGCTGTACATGAAAGTAGTGACCTTTTGCACCACATGAGGGAGGATTAGCCAAACACCTTGTTAGTGGTAGTCCCTATGCGGCTATTGATGAGCTCATCCTTGGGATGTTGTGAAAGAACATGGAATGTGTGTCTGTGTGTAATATCTGTAGCAATAACTCTCATTTTTGCGAAACAATAACATCCGTAGGTTTCAGCTGTTTCAGCATCTGCGATAAATAATAGATGATGGGGTAATTACTGCAGAGCTTTTGACTAAAGCTGGGTAGGTCAGTGTGTTCCTTCCTGTTTCTATATGTGTCTGTGCTCAATCTGGCATTTTCTGGTCTGGAGAAGGCTCAGTACAGTCATTGAGAAATTAAGAGTAGATAAAAGAGGCAAAATGATTCACCAAGGTAGCTATTACAGATCGAGTGAGAAAATAATACATGCCTTGTGTTTTTTCCTCTCCTGCCCTCCCCTCTTCTCTCGTCTCCCCTCCCCTCCCCTCCCCTTCCCTCCTCTCTGGGGGTCAAGACTTGACTATATTTCTACTCATCTTGTCAAATTTGTTTTACTCCTCCTGATACACTTCTTGCTAATAACTAATGAAAAATCACTTCCCTCCCAAGAACTAGATGTGTGTACAGTATCACATTTTTCCTAAGATTAATGGAAGGAACACAGTAAAATGCTTTTTAAAGCTGTATCTGTTGAGCTGGACAAGAAAATCCAGGGCGTGACAGTAATAGTTTTTGTGTGCCATTGTGTGTTGGCCAGCACACTTTTGTATATCCTTTTCTGTCTGCTTTGAATACAAAGTTTTTTCGGGTGTGTAATCATGCCTCTGTGTACCATATCATCTGCATGTCTTTTATAATTTGAGTGCTGACTGGGGATATTGACTTGATGGCTGGCATATGATTGGATTGGACATGGCACTGCCAGATGAACCTGAAGCGGGTTGTGGCGGAAGGCCAAAGAGCAAAGCAGCAGTGGGATCAGGTTCTGAGCCCACCTTGGAGCTGGGAATGAAGCCAAACAGAACCTTTACTGAACTGAAACAAGCCCATGTCCTGGGAGCAGAGCCAAGGCGGCTCGGTAACAAAGTGCTCAGCTTTTGGTCCACCTCAGGCCCTGCACAAGGTTTAGTGGTTCAGTGCTCTGATCCCTCCTTACCTTGGTGGGCGCTGACCTTACTCGCCTCTTTTCCAAGTTGACTTGCTTCACTTCATTTTCGGACTTTCCGGAAGTTTCTGGTTAATTATTGATAATGGGAAACATCCACTGTAATGAATATCCCTTGAAAGTCCTTTTTAGAGCTTGTTTATTTTATTTAGCATATGAGGTGGTGGTTTTGTTGAAAAATACTTTTGTATTGTTTAAATGATGCAGGCCGAATAGAGAGGCACCCACTAAAACAAATTGGTGTGCTTTACAGCTGACCTGTCTATAAATCAGTCCTCCTCAAATCTAAATACTTTTTCACTCCCTCACTTTATTCAAATAATGCACCACAGGTGATACAGTATACTTGTGGTTAGATTCATTTCAACAAAGATTTATTTTTTAAATATGATGTTTAATTGAACACTACAGCCTCTTCAAGCAACTCTGCAATATGTTCTAATATTTGTTACAAAGCTAACATTTGTTTCTGTTGTGTCTCTTTAGAAATGGTTGAAGAGGGCCATGGTGCAGCTACTCCAGAAGAGATATCAAGCTTAGAGGAATTCATCCCAACCAGACTCACATTACTCACTCTCCTCTCAGTTTCCGTGACTGTCTCCATGGCAGAGTTCAACCTCCTTCACACACTCATGCCTGTGATCATGGGATGCAAGGTAGTGCACACAGACTTCATTCTTGCAAATAATATCTTGAGAACCTCGAGAAGGGTAATAAGCATGCTGGATGCGCTGCATAAAATAATTGTGTGAAAATCATACATACAAACTGAAATGGAGAGAGAATGATATAACCTCAAGATTGTAATACACATATGCCAACATAATTATAAAGAACAAATAATTTTAGGTACTAACTGAACCTTCGAACAGGTAACTGTCTTGCTAAAAAGGTTTAAATGACTTATAATGTACATATCTGAATATGTTATTTATCTAAAAAAAGATAACATTGTTTCGCAGTCTTGTGATGAGTTAGGAAAAGTGTGTATTGTATTGTTATACCTGACTCCACATTACTAAAGGTCTGCAATACTATAGGTTGGTCTTCAGATGCACAAGGGAGACTGATGAGGACATTTTACTTAAGACTTAACTTAGAGCAGTTTCCTGCCTTTAATCCATTTCCCCCTTTTATATCTCCCAGGTTGCACCGGTGCTAGTTAACGTGCCAGTGTTTCAGCCGGTGCGCCCTCTACCTGCTGTACAGTTCCAGGTGGAAAGGGTGAATGTTGAACACACAGTGCCCATGTATGCTCCAGAGCTGGTCAGCACAGTGAGCAGCCTCAGCCAGCATTCTGACAACCTGCTGCATCACTGCTATGCACACCTCTACCTCAAGGTGAGAGCCACACATTTCAACTCTGGCTGCACTGTCAGTACATTTAAAAAAGTGTGACATATTTCCAACAACATACTTGAGTACAACTCTTTTGACACATTCACATTCAAAGATTCAAAGGTTTATTATCATATACACAACTACTGTGTAGTTAAGTAATGAATGAAACACTTTGGTTGGTAAGGTTCCTTAACAATGCAATTACAAGCCATACAAAATAAATACAAATAAAAGATAGATCTGAGTTAGACCTTGCACATCTTTGTTTAATTTAGCATTTGCTCATTTGGTTCTCTTATTATAGTTATGTGCTGTTTAAGTCCGTTAAGAAACTATACCCTTGTAGGATTAATAAAGGATGCCTTATATTATCTTATCCTTTCTCATAGTATGTATTTGATCATGTACATTGCAACTGTTTAATTGAATGATTTCAATTTTACTGCGGTCTCGTTATCTAAAATATTGACACAAAATACTTCCTTACCGTTGTTTTTTATGTACCTTAGCCAGAAGTTGTCAAGTCAAACACATGGCCACAGTCGTAACTCCGCTATGAAATAACCCTAATGACCTTGATGACCCCTTTTTACTGGGTTGTAAAAATCCCAGCACTGAGCTTTCTGATGAGGACCAGTCCAACCCTGGTCTTCTTCATGATTTTTACCCACCAAACTGATGGGATGGTGCAAGCCTGTGTTGTGCAGATTGTCCATACTCTCTGTCACTCATGCTTCCTGATTTTGACAATTCAGCAGTTATATAGTGTTTAAATGCCTATTACTTACTATACTACTCATGTTGTTAGACCCTTTTATTGACAATGAATTTGAAATTCTTTTTTTAGTATGGTATGAATAATGTGTTATACCTCTATACTATAAAATAGTGTATGTATTCATAGCAAAGCCTTTAGAAATGACTATTGATTTTTATCTAAATGTGTTCTATTGTATACATAGCTGTCACATAAGTGACTTACATACACACTCTTTGCGTGAACATTCATTGAGAATAAAGTTAAGAAAAGTCATAACTGATGGCTTTACTACAAACTTTTTTCTAAACTTGTGAATTGGTCTTACTTTTAGAATCATCCTATATTAAACTACAAATAAACTTGTTTTCACCTTTGCATTTATGGTTTACTTGAAGAGCCAGATGTCCCATTGGAGTACATATAGAACTATGGAGGCTTAAACAAATTCAGCTAAACCACATTTTAGGAAGCCTGGATAACATATCTGAGAAACCTGGGGTGGCCCAGTGTGGCCTGGTATGGCCTGGTTGTTTGCTGGACATCATGCTGGTAGACCTTATCACAGGGTCACTGCAGGGTTAACAGTCAACTGGTCTGTGGCCAAATATCCTTCTGAACAAGCCAATCAGCATCTCTAACTGCCAATGCACTAATTCCTCCTCTGGATTTAGGCAGTGGGAGCATGACGAGGTCATTTTGGCTGCAATTGGCCAGTTCAGGAAGTGATTTGAAACGGGTGTAAACTAAAGCTTATCTTAATCTGTGTTTTGTTGACACTGACTGACAAAGCTAAGGTGACTGTCTTGAGGATAGCAGGTAGCCATTGTTTCACTTTTCCATGGATATAGACAATAACTCAAAGTCAGCCTTGCTCAACAAGGAGGCCAAAGAAGTAAATAAACCAATCATAATTGAAAACTAGGAATATTTGTATAATAGATTGCTTGGGGCAGCTTAAAGGAAAACACCATTTGAAATATTTTCTCCCATGGGAACTGCAATTAATCTGTCTGTTGCTGTATGAGCCCAAGCTTGCATTTCACTGCAGGATTTTCAATATATATACATCTTAGCTTGGCAATTACACAATTACATTTGGTATACTCATCACATCCAACGTTTTGTGTGTCCGCTATGGGCCATCTGCACAATTGGTTTGGTAGACCTTCACTTGCATGAATTGAATCTGTCATAAATTAATATTTATACAAATACAAGTTGAAGTAAAAACACCCAGGAAAGAGGCAGGACGTGATCCACAGAGACCCTCTGAAGAATCAAAATAAACTTTGGAAATGTTGTTGGTGGAAACATTGCCTGAACAGTCCAGAAGCTATCAATGTGAATGTTGTTGTCAGATATATCCTGCATATATAGATATAACCATAAGGTGCAGCCGTGTTTCATGAAGCACATTAAACTACACTCCAGATATTCCGTCTGACTTCTAGCCAACACCGTTAGCTCATCCATTCCTAGTATTTTAAATGCTAAATGTATATGCTATGCTATGCTTCAGCACAATTTGCTTCTCCCTGGTGTAAACAAGGTAGCCATGGGGTTGCTGTGCAACAGCGGCATCAATGCACAAAAGCAGCAACTCAATTGAGAAAAACTAAAAAAACTCTCTCTTTAAAATAGCTCAGAGAGGGCACTTCTTTCTGAAAGCTAAAAGTTAAAAGTGGTACAAATCTAATATGAGCAACTGCAACAGGCTGCATACACGATTATTCAGAACAAGTGTGCTAGTGAACTTTACAAACTAATTAAAAAAACTTTTGGGCAAAAATCTTTAAAGAAAAAAATGAATTTTCTGTACTTAAGGTACCCTAAGTATAAGAGCTGTCAGTCGCATGATGTCCATAGTTAATCGCGATGAATCGCAAATTAATCGCACATTTTTTACCTGTTCTAAATGTACCTTAGAGGAATATTTTTCAAGTTTTGAATACTCTTATCAACATACGAGTGGACAAATAGGCTTTATGCAAATGTTTGTTTATTATCATTGGAACAATGACAAATATTTTCAACACAACAACCTGGAATCTCTCTCTCTCTCTCTCTCTCTCTCTCTCTCTCTCTACCCTGTGTACTTCTCTGCACTGAGCCAGTTGCTCAAACAGACAAGCCTGTTTACAGGTGTCGGCGAAATGCCGCTCCTCTGTCTTCATAACAGTCGAAGCATGAGACTGAAGTTTGTGGGTTAAAATAATGCGCTGTGATGTGCTGTCGACACGTTGGATGCGATCCGACTTATCTAATGCAGCCCCTCGTCCTCCACAATGTTAAGCTGTAGCCCCCCATTTAGCTATGGCTGTTGTTGTCCAGGCGTCTCCCCGACAAACTTTCAAGCGTGGTCTGCCGCAAGCGAGCGGCAGGAGCGGGGCTNAAGAATGTGTAATCCCGTTCCTAACAGCCACATAACCTCTGTGAGAGAACCAAACTGTCCGTGAGGTCACAGCTTAGGAACTGCGCCTTACCCTCTGGGATTCCTAAGCTGTGACCTCACGGACAGTTTGGTTCTCTCACAGAGGTTATGTGGCTGTTAGGAACGGGATTACACATTCTTGTGTACTGACATTAGCTTCCTCTCTCCCGATTTGTAAAAAAACCCGAAACGAAAGGGTGAGTTCAGAGGTCAGCCTCGTAGATCGAAGCTCTGCATGGTGGTTTGGGGAAAATGTTAAACCGCATATAGTTTGCTGAGAAACAATGATAAGAATAAAGAATAGAGTAAAATGGCTTTGGAGACGCAAGGACTGGCCTTTGACAGTGTCTATATCCAATAATCTTCAATCCTTGGATTTTTTAAACTATGCTTGGGAACTCTGCCCTTTGGTATGTCCAGGCAATACTTCCTCCAGTGTCTTCTCCCGCCACTTTTTACACTCCCCTCTTCACTTGCTGTGAACCTGGTGTTTTATGTTAGCCAGTGCTCCAGACATCCGCTTGCATTCTGTGTATTCGTTGAAGCAAAGAGGTTTTCCACTCTTTCTAACCTTCACTTTACCAAACTTGGATAATGCTTATGGCTCCTCTGCTTTCTCCATGGCCTTCATTTCATTCTGCTGGCTTTACATCAAATATGTGACCCAACTCCTCACTGCTGCTGGGTACCACTCAGAAAGCCCTGACCACAATGATCTACTGAGCCAAGTCAGGGCTCTCTTCTGTCAGGGTGCTGGCTGACCCCCTGTGCCCTCCTTCCTCTCTCTCTTTCTGTCTCCTACTCGTGCAGCAGTGTACCAACACATTTACTGGACTCACACACCTGCATGAGTCTGCCATTCTGTGCTGTCTGTGTGTGTTCAGTAGAGAGCTGAATTATCTTGCTTGTATTAAACTACCTCGAAGGCAAATTAATTGAGTGTGCTGCTTTAGGCAAATACACTCCCATTGTAAATGGACCAGTGTGTTCTGAGAACCTGCATCTTTAAAAGGATTTAAAGCATGGGAATTAGAATTTTAATCTGGAGCCTTCATTTTAATTATATGTAATATAGTAGATATATATACTATATACTATATGAGTAGGGTGAATGATAATGAAGGAGAAGAAAGAGGCTCAGGAGTTAAACACGTTAATTCCCATGCTTTAAATCCTTTTAAAGATGCAGGTTCTCAGAACACACTGGTCCATTTACAATGGGAGTGTATTTGCCTAAAGCAGCACACTCAATTAATTTGCCTTCGAGGTAGTTTAATACAAGCAAGATAATTCAGCTCTCTACTGAACACACACAGACAGCACAGAATGGCAGACTCATGCAGGTGTGTGAGTCCAGTAAATGTGTTGGTACACTGCTGCACGAGTAGGAGACAGAAAGAGAGAGAGGAAGGAGGGCACAGGGGGTCAGCCAGCACCCTGACAGAAGAGAGCCCTGACTTGGCTCAGTAGATCATTGTGGTCAGGGCTTTCTGAGTGGTACCCAGCAGCAGTGAGGAGTTGGGTCACATATTTGATGTAAAGCCAGCAGAATGAAATGAAGGCCATGGAGAAAGCAGAGGAGCCATAAGCATTATCCAAGTTTGGTAAAGTGAAGGTTAGAAAGAGTGGAAAACCTCTTTGCTTCAACGAATACACAGAATGCAAGCGGATGTCTGGAGCACTGGCTAACATAAAACACCAGGTTCACAGCAAGTGAAGAGGGGAGTGTAAAAAGTGGCGGGAGAAGACACTGGAGGAAGTATTGCCTGGACATACCAAAGGGCAGAGTTCCCAAGCATAGTTTAAAAAATCCAAGGATTGAAGATTATTGGATATAGACACTGTCAAAGGCCAGTCCTTGCGTCTCCAAAGCCATTTTACTCTATTCTTTATTCTTATCATTGTTTCTCAGCAAACTATATGCGGTTTAACATTTTCCCCAAACCACCATGCAGAGCTTCGATCTACGAGGCTGACCTCTGAACTCACCCTTTCGTTTCGGGTTTTTTTACAAATCGGGAGAGAGGAAGCTAATGTCAGTACACAAGAATGTGTAATCCCGTTCCTAACAGCCACATAACCTCTGTGAGAGAACCAAACTGTCCGTGAGGTCACAGCTTAGGAATCCCAGAGGGTAAGGCGCAGAAAATAATGACATATTTTAATTAAATCTTTCACTTTGCTAACTGACAGTTGGAAATCCCAAGTTATGGTTTTTAATATCCCTCCCTTCCCCCAATCTCCCTGTAGGATTGTATCTATAATTTCTCAGTTTCTTTATTTTTTTCCCTCCATGGAAGCCTTTGAGGTGTCAGTTCAACAAGTTAAGCTCTTTTGCTTCACGTCACAGCCTGGCGAAGCCTACGTTTGAATTGGAAGGCAATCAAAATAAAAGCACAATTACCAATCAAGTGATCAAAACAGACCGGCTTAAGAAGACTTTGATGTATTAATCCAAAGGAGTACCTCACAAATTCCCAGAGAGGGATGAGGGCTGGCTAAAATGTATGCGGCTGTGGAGTTGAGCCTGACAACCACACAGGTATAAAATACAACCAACAATGTTCTCTGCTTTAACATAAAAGCAATTATAGTATGAATAGATCTGTTTGTGGACAACTCACAGTATCCGATTGGAACCACATAAGCATGCACATGTCCACAAGGCAAGCTCAGAAGCACTGTGTAATAGGATGTGTCAGGGTCATGGTTGGCCTCTAGGCAGAGATGTATCTTTGGGTAGGTGTGTAAGTGAGTGAATGGCTGAATGACATTGAGACAGTTAGAGGGGCGGAGTGATAGAAGGCAGTGCCCTCACAGGCCAGTAGATGTCTCCCCATGTTTATAGAGGGAGAAGTGGACTGTGTTATCTGACAGAGTAAAGGAGTCTCTGCTGGCTTCTTGAGCATGCTTCCTATATTTTACCGCAATGACTGTAACACTTGAAGAGAGCAGGCTAACAGTAAATACACACACACGCGCATTTGTGCGCGTGTGTGTGTATTTACTGTTAGTGCCTTTTCTCTTCAAGTATCACAGTCATTGTGGTAAAATATAAACCACTCTGCAAGACAAAAACCTGTTTCTTCCATGTTCACAGATTTCTAAACTCAAATGGTCTCAAATTCTTGAGAACATCTTGTCTAATGCACAGACAGAAAGTGGCCTCTGGGTCCCTTACATTTGATAGGACTCTGAGTACTCATTCAAACCAAACTCAAAATACTTAAAAGTGGAACATCACTTTGTGATGTTCCACTTTTAATTGGCAAAACAAACATTCAAATTAAGAAAAAGAAGAATATAATACAAGAGTAAGTATGAGTAAAAAAAAGAAGAGACACACGAGAGGGAATTGGAGCCAGATTACACGACTCACCACAGGCAGCCTATGGGAAATCAGATGAATGTGATGAAGTACTATGTATAAAACTGGGATCATGTTCCAGCAATCATGTGACAATGATTGTTTCCTACAAACCACAACCCACTAAAAATGAATATGCTAGGAGGTCAAGTCGTTCACTATAAGGGTCAACATACCTGAATGTTCATTACCTCAATGTCTGTACTGGTTAGGAAGAATACACTACATCTTTTGTATGCCTTTTAATGTTAATAAAAAAGCATTTGAGCTGTAACTCTGAAATTAAAATGCTGAAACCATATATTTCTGCAGAAGCCCAAACACCTCCCAACAAATACACACGCCCTCTACTTCAGCTTCTTCATGCTGTCAATTACCTCCATCATAACAAGATCTGGAGTGCTCAGGTTCGCACAGCTGGTCCTCACTTGTATATTTTTGTGATGGGATACTAATTCATTCTCAGAGGCTCCCCATAGCAGTAGCATGACAGCGTCTCGTACATCTGGCATTGGACACTGAATTAGAAGCTGCGCCAACTTGCAGTAAAAGTTCCAGGCCAGCAGGCAGGGAGCAAGTCAGAGGGATTGAGCGAGTAGATATATTGTGTTGGGTGCCTACCACTTCCCCTGCACCATCATTTGCTCCTGGTGCTACAGAGGCTGATTTAGCCCAGTGGGACCTGGGACTGGATCCTGTTCTATTTGGCTGAAATGAGGATGAGCAGTTGGGGATAGATGAGATGGGTGTTTAGGGAATTAAGTGGGTTTTATAAAGGGGGCGGCTGTAGCTATTCAAAGTACATTGTTATATTGTTATATTGTGTGTGTATGCAAGAAAACTGGCTGCATGTGAAGGTTTTGCTCAGCTCCTGGATGTGGGAAGTGTGATTTTCCCACTAGTTCTCGAATCTCAAAGACACAGATGTGCCTGTGTTTGATTCATCATTGTGCCTTCCCTTCATCCTGCTCTCTCTATCCATATGGAGGGGATCAGGCCTGATGACAACAGTCTGTGTTGAGTTACACGCTACAACTTTTGTTTGTGGAAAAAGCAGGAGGAGTGCACACCATGGTCAAAGTGATGTTAAATGTCCCGTTTAGGAACAACAGCAGCTTAAGGACAGACATAGCCCCTGAACAGAACAAGGCAACATGCAGGGTGTCATAGGACGAAAATGCTGTCTCAAGAAAAGCATCAAAGCGCTGTGTATGGTCTGATGGCTCATTTCAGATCTTGCAACCACATTTTTTCTGAGAGAAATGACTGCTGCAGAAACTGCACTGACACGCATGCTATATCGCTGTGAGACCAGTACATCATTTCCAATTACATTTTTCTAAAACAGAATAATGGTTGTTTCTGCAACGAGAGGGGCCCTCAGCTTTTAAAAAGAGGACCGACTTATTCTACTCATTTGTAGGTGAACAAATAAATAAAAAGCAAAAAATGACAACATGACTTAACTCATGTTCTAACATATACAATTTTTAGCAACTGATGGTCATGATTTGGAAAATTGTACTGACAGAAGTTTTAGGGCAACCTGAAAGCTGATGAGTTAGGGAGCATTCACTTTTGAAATGCCCTAAGCATTGAGTACCTGGTTTGACTCACAGACATAACATTTCCAAATACAAGGTGTTTTAAAGAAAATATGCCAGGATGTTTTAAAATATTGAAGATAAAATAAATCAAGCTAGACTTTTTTTTAACAACAAATAAAAAAACTAACAAAACTTTTTTTTTGTCAGCACCCTCTCCGAAGAACGTACTCACCAGGTAAAATGTTGCCAGCCTCTCTGACTTTCACATTTCCCTCTTCTTCCTCCCCCTCTTTGTGTCCTCCGATTTCCCCGTAGTAGAGGGCAATTATGAGCTCCAAAATGCGGATAAACATGGGCAGCTGCTGATCAGTAATGGACAGTTTCAAGCTCTCAACCATTGTGTGGATCTGAGGATACATAGAGAAGAAAAGTGTGAAATGTGATGTGTTCAGTTATATGCATAAATAATTTTGGTGTGGACCCTAATAGGTAATATCTGCTCCGGTTTAAGTTATATGATCACCTACAGGTACACACCACACATTATGATTGCAAGTGAATGTATAGTTTAACTAGAAGGAAGTAGATATATATTCCCAAAAAATAAAAATATTAGGACTAAAGAACCTAGAGTTTTAGAGATTTTAAATGCACCAGCAAAATAATGAAGATGACCTTTTCTATCAGAAAAAGTTGTCATATGTCATACACTGAGTGGAACAATGACAGCAACAGCCTGTTACCATTAGTCAGTGAGCAGAGGACTTTATTTCTAAACAGAAGCTTTGTTTTGAAATGTAGCTAATTTGAGAGGGATTCTCAACAATCAGTGGTATTTCAATTACACAACATGTTCTGGAACAATCAATTAATAAGTTGGCAAATAGAAGACAGTGTAGCCCTCCTTAGGGAAGCATTTTCAAACATATCAAAGTGCCCCTTGATGTAACTTAAATGACATCAGTTTAACCTAGAGAATACATCCTCAATCTTTTGTGTTTTTAGAGGAAAATTAGTATTAACAAGGTGTTGCCAACTTTTCAAGTTGCTCACTTTGATGACGGATGGGATCTTGGAATTGATGTTTTCATAGGTAAAATGAAGACGGGTTCTGAAGGAGCATTTGTACAGAAGCGGGTCCTGGTAAAAGTCGATCTTGCCACTAGCATTCCGCTTGTCCAAGCACAATGTACAGTCAGCAAAGTTGATCACTTTCCTTAAGACCAGCTCTGGAGCTTCATTGATAAAAAAGAAAAGAAAATTAATGTAGATACATTTTGCATTGAACATATAAGGGGTTGACCCATTTCACTTGACACTCATCCAACATGTGTATTAGACAAATGTACTGTATGTACACATATGTATTCACACAAAGAAATGCAGGCTTTAAAGAGGTAGCATTAAACCAAAAACAATACAAGCATACACACACTAACGGCCCAACCACACAGCAGCGTTAAAAAAAATCTTGAAAATCTTCAAGGTGGGCGTGTCTGAAAGCTTGGTGATTTTTTGCGAGCAACGCGACCAACAACCAATAACATGAATAACCCGCCCCCGACATACAAAGCAAAAAAACCCGGGATTTTATGAGAGTAATATATATATATATATATAAACTCCCCAAACAGGCGAAAACCTACCAGTTTCACCCACTGTCTCTGCCACCTCCCTCCATGCCTGGTTCCTCCGGTTTGTATCCCGGTAAATAGTTAGTGGTCGTAAAGAACCGGGTGATTTGCTACCGTAATTTCTCGTTTGGAATATGAGGAAATGAACTGCAGCATGGCTCTCCCAGCTTGCACGCGGTTTGATTGGCTAGCGCTTGTACTGTCAGATTTGCATAAACGGGATTTGATTGGCTGACGCTTCCACCTCAGCTTCAAAAGTTGAACATTGCTCAACTTTTGAATCCTGAAAATCCTGGAAATCCTTGAAATCTTCGCTTTGCTCCCCCACAATGCAGTTCGGCGAGAAGCGAGGCAACGTGACGTCACCCCATTCAAAGTGAATGGGCAGAAGCGTTGGAAGATTTTTTTAACGCTGATGTGTGGACGGGCCGTAACAGAAAGCAGGCTCTAACAGTAAATCATTGTGTGTGTGTGTGTGTGTGTGTGTGTGTGTGTGTGTGTGTGTGTGTGTGTGTGTGTGCGCAGCCTGGCAAGCCATCACTTTACCTCCTGCTATTTCACTCTTTGTTTCTTATTTAGAAAGAGTGTCTCTTTTGCACTCTCTTACACTTGCTATATCTCTTCTTACCTCGCACTAAGTCCAGGGCCACAATTCTTCTCTCTGCAAGCCATCGCGATGCTAGAACTTCTGTAAACAATGGACACAGCCAACACCTGTGTTGTGGCCCACAGGGAAGAAGCCCACTTAAAACTGTTCAACCATAAAATGACTGGAAAAACCAGATTCTTTATTTGGTTTTAGAATAGGCCAAGTGCTCTATTCTGTGCAATACAGGAAATAAATACTATAATTTCCTTGATTACAATTTGTCCTGTATATGGAAAGAATAAGTAGCTGTCGAGTGAAGGATTGAAAAGTTTCACACAAAAAGATTACTATAAGGGCAACTTGCTTGCTTGTTATTCTGAAATATAATCAAGACAGTTTTCGAGCAAATACTAGCAGCTATTGTGGGACATAAAAGTTCACACAATTCTATAAATCCCTTTACTAGTATGGGATATTCTCTTTAAGTAGCATTTTCCAGTACAGCTGCTGTATTTAGTTTCTGAGCAAAGGCCCCAGTACCAGGACAGCAGTAGCACTGGACCATGGATTTGTCTCAGGAGTGTGTTTGCATTTCAGTCCATGCAAATCTCAATCTCCTCCACCACACGCATACTTACACAACCATGCACAACTCTTTAACAAATAAATACATTTTGGTACATGCATTCACACAGCCATACATACACATGGATTTAACACACAATATGAGCAATGAAATAAGCCTGTGTAGGTGCATTCTGTGCTTTTTTTTGGCAGAACAGGAATACTACCTTCCCCTGAATTTTGTCTGAGCAATATTATAATATTTATCAAAATGAGAATGGTTGGGACTTGAAATTGGAATCCATATTTTGTGAAAAATAAGTAGAAGTGTAGTACTGTATTGAAGAAGTCACACAATAATATGATGTTGCGGGTGATATAATGTTATAATAAAAGACCTAGGTTGTCAAGAAAGCATTTGGGCACACTGTTAAGACAGTACTTAGTAAATGTAAAGAAACACTTTGGGGCTCTTCAAGAGGGTTCAGTTTTGCAACTGCTGATCTCGAACATAACTTTGATCCAGTAGGTAGCAGGCTAAAACTAGACTCAAAGTTAGACGTGCCACCAATAAATCTCTTTGAACCAATATAAAACAGAACACATTTTCTTCCGAGTGAATATGACCATTGCAGGAATCCCCGAAACGGAGAAATGCGGTTCTCACAAACAGTGGCCGCTGGTCCCCCACAAGCAGCAGTAACCATAATCACTCACAGAGTCCCCTAAGGTGTAAGCACTTGGTGTTTGGTCTTTGTGTGACTACCAACCCCATAGCATATGAATTAACATCACTATTTTCCACCACATGGAGAACAGGGAGGATAAATTAATTCAGCATGTGAGAGCTTAGGGCCAAATGACTGGATAATTGCTGGTGGTTGCTTTTTAGTGTCGGCCGTGTTTTGTTTTGGTTGTTTTGAAGGGGAGGGGAGCAGGCGCAACACAAAGGTTTGTCGACATAGATGCTGACGAAGAAGGAAGACGGGGCATTGCCCTGAGATGGTCTCATCTCATTTTTTTCCAATGGCAATTCCAAACCAACTGTTTAATTCGTTTTTAACATAATAAAGCTACACAGTTTACACTTAGCAGACTTGGAATACTGGACTCGGACTCGAGTCGGTCTCTATCAAGTTCTCTCTCGAGTCTAGATGTACTCTGCCCCAGGCGTGTGCACCTGCGAGGCGAGTTCACGTACCGCGCGCCCCCGCTCTTCCCAGTGTAAAGATGTGCAGGGACTTCTCTAAAACAATTCATTTAAGGAAATAAAACAACCACATTATAAAAGTTGACTTTGATCCAACAGAATGATTACTATTATTTATTTATGTTTATGACCCATCCCTAATAAAATAAAAGTCATAAAAGAGCAACTTGCAGGTTAGAGACACCAGTGAATAAATGTGTAGGAAAATGATGAATACAATAGATTTTCAAAAAAATATACAGAAAAATAGACTACAGTGACATCTGGCGTCGTTTTAGTAAGACATTTTTACTTCCGCATAAAAAAGCCTCCGCACGTGACCTCCCGCGTGTGACGTAACATGGGGGAGAGCGGCCGGTCTAACGTATGAATAAACATGGATCACAATGCTAGCTTTGACACAGAAGAGGTTGAAAATATATATTCGAATGCATATGATTATAATTATGAGCCTGTTAGGCGTCCAAGAGACCAGGAGCAGCCAAGGATTAGAAGAAATAACGGCCATCGGAGAGAAATGGAGCTGTGGTGTGAGGAGAACCAGTGGAGAACAGGGCAGCTGTCTTGGTGAGTGACCGGCGTTAGCTACAGTTAATGTTAACTAACGTCAGTCACATCACAACATTGTAAAGTTAGCTATCATATATCAGGCTATAACTAAAGTAGTATTGATAATATAGTAACGTTACTGACAGGACTGTTGATACTGATCCATAACAGAAACTAATGCGCAAGTATCAGCCGTATCTCGCGTTGCTTAATGCAACTCCACAATACGTCTTACGGTGCCGTGTACCGGAGGGGAGAGAGAGCAGCGAAGGGGGGGAGAGAGAAGTAATACGGTTNGTTAAAGAGAAGAGGCCCCAAGATGGAGCCTTGAGGTACCCCACATGTCATATTTGTCAACTCAGATGTGTATTTACCTATAGAAACAAAGTTGTTTCTGTCCTTTAAGTAGGATTCAAACCAATTTAGAACTGTTTCCGAAAGTCCCACCCAGTTTTCCAGTCGGTCTAGTAATATGTTGTGGTCAACAGTGTCAAACGCAGCACTGAGATCTAATAATACTAACACTGAAGTTCGGCCACTGTCTGTGTTTAAGTGGATGTCATTGAAGACCTTTACAAGAGCAGTCTCAGTGCTGTGGTTTGGACGAAAGCCTGACTGGAACACATCAAAACAGTTATTTAAATGCAAGAAGTTACTCAACTGTTGAAAAACAACTTTTTCAATGATTTTCCCTAGAAATGGGAGTTTGATATGGGCCTGAAATTTTTCATTACTGAAGCATCTAGATTATTCTTTTTTATAATCTAGATGGTGCTTACTTTTGTATATTTTATTCAAATATATCAAGGAGGTGGGCAAGGGGTGGTTAAATAGCCAACAATATTTAATAACAGATATATCGTACACTCACCAAGTTTGAGGTGAGAAGGGAACTATAGCTTGCTACGACTCCTCAAAAGTACCTGATTAAAGGTCAAGTATTAACCTTTAGATGCACGATTGACTGGACCGTACACTCTTCCATAAGTGGGTCAAAAAGGACCCATATTAGAATAATGTGTGTTTTTATGCCATTTTTGTCATTCTGGTTAAGAAAGATCACTTGTATAATATTTAGTATTATATTTTGGTTCACACTAGAAATATTTTATATTTAAGTTCTCACAATTTATAATTTTAGACATTTTGAAAAAAAAACGAAATTCCATAGAAAATGCATGCAGGTCATTTTTGACCTACTTATGGAAGCTTGGGGTAGAAATACAAAAACTACAATTTCTTAAAATGTAGATTTAAAATGTCAATGGCATGATATCCAAAACATGTTTTTTGAGGAATAGCTGGAATATTAAATGATACAAAAATGTAATGACAAAGATACTCTAAGAAAACCACCTCACCGGGTCAAAAAAGACCCACTTATGCATCGGGTTAAGAATAAAACCTAATGAATTTAGTCTAAGGCATAGTGCACTGGGTTCATCGTATCCCTACCCCACACCTGTAAATCAGTTCAAATCTACAGCAAATGCACTCAGTGACTGGACCCTGACTTTAGTAAACACCAAAGGCCACAGAAACCTTTATTAAGATGACAATACAGTAAGAGTGAGATTTCTAGAGATATTATTATATAATAAGAACATTTACAGTAGATTTATATACATCAAAAGATTAGTTATTAGTTCTTAACTAAGTATGGTTAACACCTTACTAAGGCAATGGAAAGTACATTATTGTCTTTTGACTGTATTATAAACATAAAGGGTATTGATTATTGCAAATAAACTATCAACTGTGATGTTGGTGGTAAAACAAAAAAACTACTTGAATAAACTCTGTACATGAGAAAAACTACTGGAAACATACAAGACAAGTCTAAATGGGCAGGGATGGGTTAATGTTACATATTCAGCAGCCCCCCTTTAAAAAAAAGGACTGTGGGGGATTGGAAGGTTTTCCATTCAGCATACAAGCTATTGCATAAGGTTCAGTCATCCAGTGTTTCGCTGCCTGCACTTAAATCAAGACCTCTCACATATAGGGTAAGTCAATCCTTATACAGAACCAATATATTAAAATTAGAGTTTTGGGAATTTTGTATTCTGCAGTGAACTGAGTATTTATATTTTGATGTTATATTTCTATCCACAGCTGCTATGCAAACCATTGTGCTGTTGGTGTTGTGGGTATTGGGGACATCACTGGCGTTGCCAGACCCAGACACCGCTGGGGACACGGTGGTTGAAGAGCCTATACCGTGTTCTAAGGGATGCACTTGTCTGCATGATGACTACAGCTTGGCGCTCAACATGTACTGCAGTGCTCGGAACTTCACACAAACCCCGTCTGACATTCCCCCCGCCACTCATTCCCTCTGGCTGGACGGCAACCTGTTCACATCCCTCGCAGCAGCGTCTTTTAAGGATCTTTCTAACCTGGACTTTTTGAATCTGCAGAGTGGAGAGCTGCAGACTCTTGACCCTCAGGCTTTCAAAGGGCTTAGGTCGCTAGCGCACGTTCACCTCGAGCGGAATCGCCTCCGTGCGTTACCAGGTACGATCTTCCAGAATACGCTCAACCTTGCCTCAATTAGTCTGCATAACAACCAACTGTCTCGTATTGAAGAAAGACTGTTTGCTGGACTCTCACACATGTGGCTTCTCAACCTAGGAGGGAACTCATTAGCAGTTTTACCTGAGACAGTTTTCCAGGACCTGCGAGGTCTACGGGAGCTCATTCTCGCAGGGAACCGACTCGCCTACTTACAGCCACAGCTTTTCACAAATCTTGCAGAGCTTAAAGAATTGGATCTGACTGGAAATCACCTCAAGGTTATCAAAGCCAATGTATTTGCTACACTCACTAAACTTCAAAAGCTCTACCTAGCCCAGAATCACATTGTGACAGTGGCCCCCAGAGCCTTTGTAGAAATGAAGTCACTGAGATGGATGGATATCACAGACAACAGACTGACTTCGCTCCATGACGACACTTTCTTGGGCCTGCACAGTCTCCATGTACTGCGGCTTTCCAATAACTCAATCACTGGAATTCGGCCCAGGACTTTCCGGGATCTGCAGTACTTAGAAGAGCTACGCCTCAGCTACAACAAGATCCGAGCCCTGGGGGAAAGGATCTTTGAAGGGCTGGGTCATCTGGAGGTCCTAGAGCTAGAGCACAACCAAGTGCAGGAGGCACAAGTGGGTAGTTTCACAGGGCTCTCTCATGTGGCTGTCATCAACCTTTCTGGAAGCTGCTTCCAAAGTCTACCCGACCAAATGTTCAAAGGTCTGTCTAAGCTTCATAGTCTTCATCTGGACAGAGGTTGCCTAGCAAGGGTCACAGGGCAAGCTTTCACTGGACTGTCTGGTTTACGGAGGCTTTTCTTGCAGCACAATAACATCTCTGTTGTGGAACACCAGAGCTTTGTGGACCTGGTGGGCCTATTGGGACTGGACTTGAGTTTTAACAAATTGGACGCTTTCACATCCCGTACATTCTCCGGCCTAGGGAATTTGGAGTTCTTGCTGTTATCCAACAATGAATGTCGACAGTTTCTGCAAAATGGCACAAAGCAGATACTCCCAAAGCTGCGCTATCTGGACCTGAGAGCTAATAGCTTGACAAGTATAGTCCCTGATTTTCCAGAGAATATGGAAAAACTTCTGCTTTCCGGAAACCGGTGGAAATGTGACTGCAGTGCCCTCCCACTGAGAAATTACAGCTTACAGAGTCCGTTGGTGATACCTCGGCAAGTGGAGACCCACGCAGAGGGAGAAGAGCCTGACTCAACTATCACCATATACAACAACATAACATGCATTGGCCCACCACGTCTAGCTGGTCAGGACCTGCGGGATATTGACAGTGAACTCTTCCAAGGTTGCTAGACAAACATGCACAGATTGGATTTGAGAATTGTTTAATGTTCTGTAATATATATAACAATGCTCATAACATTTCTGATATCAAAATGTAATGTCAACGCTAATGCATGATTCAGGTTTTTGTTTACCATTGACTATTAACAGATATGGTAGCCTTCAGGGGTGTCAAACTAAAATACACAGTGGGCCAAAATAAAAAAATCGGTACTAGTCGAGGGCCAGACTGGTTCAATGTTTATTGCAAAACGTATTGAAATGAACTTATTGCAAATATTAAACCTGGAACTAACAAAGCATAAATGATTGCCTATTGTTTTTAAACATTAAATAATCAGTTGCATTCATTTCTTATGGCTATATCTGCAGCTTTTCCGGAGTCATTTCTTATGATTACATTTTTCCACAGGCCAACAACAGCTTTAATAAAACTATTTCCCTCAAAGAAAAAAACAAACATGCCCTGTTGTCATGAGAAAGAAAGTGCAGAAGGAAACATCCATTAAACTCAGTGTGCTGCTCTGTGATGCTAGTTCAAGCCAGATACTTGGCATCTCATCTTGGGTGCAAGTTCATCAAGGTTTGGGCTCAGGCTCTGAGCTGAGGAAACCCTCAGGATTGAGTGAAGGTGTGCGTGCAATATACCGGCGGGCCATATCTAATAGTAATTAAAAATTATCCTGCGGGCCGAAATTAAATCCACCAAGGGCCTGATTTGGCCCCCGGGCCTTGAGTTTGAAACACGTGCTTTAGAGAAAATGGTTGAAAATATTTATCAGGTGCTATTCATTTTTTTAAATGAAAAGAAAATACAAATGTGTCTTCATTAATGGTGAATGTGTAATTCTATGTAAAATACTTGTACAATTTCACCTACAGAAAGGAAGATTGAAATTGCACTCAATGTTAAACAAAATAGGTGGATGTATTTTTCAAATGTTTAAATATCACTTGAACCCACTTCTTCGTGTTTTTGAGAAATTAACAACCGGGATAACAGGTCAAAACAAATGTAAGCCTGATTTGAAAACATAGGTACATTTACATAAAACTAAGAGCACCACAACTGCATTTTAAGTTTAACCCATTAAGATAAAAACAATTAGCAAAATTGTCAGGCAGTAGGAAATATCTGTAGGCTCCAGCTTTAAATATCAAGAACTGTATTACTTAGTGTAGTAAATAAACATGTTTTGTCACTTTAAAAATAAATACACAATTGGAAAACTTGCCTGAAAGTGCAATAAATATTTTTAAACTTGTGTATTCGTGTACATTTGTGTATTTGAAAATGCTTAATTTAAAGTTCATCAGGGGACGGATTAGCTAAACCACAGAACCCAACTACAACAACACTGATACACAGCACAATGTCAGTAATACAAAAAAAGTAAAATGGTAAAGTTTCACAGGGAAAAATATAGATATTACTGACCTGAAAGCATGCATCTGAATATGAACATAATATGTGTAGACTTACCTTTCAGTCTAACAAGTGGCTAGTCCTGGTCGATGCAGCACCTGCATTAGATAGCACAGTAGTTAGTTAGCTAGCTAGCTAATGAGCTAGCTTGCCAGGTGCACGAATTATTTCAGTACAACACCGAAATTGCATTTTACAAGCCAGAATGCTAGCATGTGTGTACACTGCATTTACTGATATATAATACAACGTTGCACTACATACGCGCAGAATACTGTGCACAGTAACATTTCTATCTATCTATCTATCTATCTATCTATCTATCTATCTATCTATCTATCTATCTATCTATCTATCTATCTATCTATCTATCTATCTTGGTTAATTACGACATTTCTGACAGCACGTGAAGGCAACATTGTTGTCAGATCACACGTGCAGAGGGAAGTTTTCCGTTGCCGTGGTGACTGGTGACCAAAGACCCTGAAACAATCAATGCGGAACATAAACGGAACCTTCGCGGTTAAACTGAAGTTGTTATATCTATTTAACGCTTGTTATGGACTTAAATAATTCGTCCTGTTGGGATTCGATTCGGGAGAAGGTGAAACAACATATACCAACCATCGACTTCGATTCTTCGCCAGTATGTATTTGTATTTCCCTCCTGAATTGTGTATGCTTGCTAACTGACAAAAGCTACATACAATGGCAAATAACATCCACATGATAACCTGGTACTTCTTAACATTACAGTCCGAAAATGAAGAAGTCGTCACTGTATTTCAGAGACCAGCTGGTCTTTCCCTGAAAGTCCCGAAAGGCTTTGACCCATTTTCAATGGGTGATGATGAATCAGAGGTGAGTTGGTTACAATTTGATTTCAACTGTGTTAATGGTACTCAGGACCCCCAAACAAACTTGACTAGCAATCACTGGCATGTGTGTGTGTTTCCTCAATCAGAAGCTGATGAAACCTTGCTGGTCAGAAAACAGAGTGAAGTTGGATGATGATCATGATGATGATGATGATGATGATGATGAAGAAGATGATGATGATACAGCACAAGGAGCTGCTGCCCCTCAGTGGAGAACAGAACACTCTGATGTTGATGTCCAGGTGGGTTTTATTGAACAAAAGCCACTATTTACACAAGTGTATCGAAATATGTAACTGTACTTATACCACCACATCTTAGAGAGAAATATTCTACTTTCTACTCAAGGAGGAAGTGTTCCTTTTTGTGTTGAGAAAGTTATCTTGTTTTTAACGCTAAATGAGCTATTTAAAACCCCTCAAATTTCAATAAAAAATGACCTCCCATCAGCTGGGAAACACATTCTAAAGCCGAAAACAGGATGTGTTTGTGAGCATATAAAAAAATACTTTTAAAGATACTTAGAAAACAACAAAGCTAAAAAACCTGAGGATCTAATCGACATAATACCTAGAAATATAAAGGGTATGATGTGCTGCATAATGACTACTTTTACTTTCAATACTTAAGGTATATTTTGCTGATAATATTAACATTCCTCTACTCTTAGAGGTTCTGAATGCAGCACATGTACTTGTAGTGCACTATTTCTACAGTGTGGTTGTAAGGTAAAGAATCTGAATACCTCTTCCAACACAGCTGAGTGTGCATTAATTTTCAAATGTTCTGTTTTAATATTGAAGGGAGACGCTTGTAAGAGAGACGTTCTACAGGTGAACGGAGCCAAGCTGAATGATTCCGTAAAACCAAAAGTGGACAAAACTAAATCTAATGAGGGTTTTCCCATTCTCTCATTTGCGGTGAGTTGGGCAAGTACAAAAGGTTAGGAAGTAAAGAGTTGTCGTTAATAGAGAACAAATATTCTCATTATTTAAAAAAATCCTGGTTTTGTTACACAACACAATTCAGAGGCTTGATCAGTGGGACTTGGATGAAGTCCTCCAAAATCTAAAAAAGGATGGGTTGCCTCTGCGACAACGTGTGTCAGCTGAACCTTCACAAGCACTTGCAGGTTAGTCATTTGTATCGCCTTGCAGCTATAGGATGATTATGGGGATATATATTGAATTTACTATCACATATAATAGATTCAACACCTTTTTTGTACATAGGTGGTGAAAAGAACAAGTCCCAGCAGAATATAATGGAGAGACTAGTTGCTTTCTGTGGCAGCCAATCAACTGAGTCCATGTCTGAGCCTTTAAAAGGCCTAAACCACATTAGGTAAGTCATATTGAGGTTTTGTGATCAGAACTTGTAAGATTATGATAACAATAAATCACTTGTTTCAAGCAGACAGAATAATGTGAACAACACATCAGTGGAGAGGATTGAAGCCGAGCTGCAGCTGATCCAAAAGGAATGTCCAACGGTTTATATTGACCTGCGTTGCGTCGATACTTCAACAAAACAACAGAGAACATCCCCAAATGTTTCATCAGAGCCCAAGTCACCAGCCAAACTCAACACCCACCAGACAACAACATCTACATGTATAAACAAACCCAATCTTAATGTGCACGCTGGGTCACAGACAGGAAATAGGTAAATATAACCACATTATAAACATTTGCCATGCTTCAGTTTAGCACATTTTGTTTCAGTTTGTGTAATTTCTCCACCAGGGAAGTCACTGGCAAGAGTCTGCTGCTCCAGAAAATCAGGGAGATGAGGAGAAATGAGAATGCATTTTCGGTGCCAGGGAATGGAGCAGACGATATGAAAGAGAACATACCCCATGCCAAAAAGTCATCACATGTACAGTTTGACAGAAACCTTCAAATGGAAAGCCCCAAAACAACTCAGCAAAGAGCAATCAAAGAAACAAATCATCCGCGGTATGTGTTTCTTCTTTTTAAATTCATCCCTTTATTGAGAAAAAAAACGACTATTTTAACCATGAAATTGCTGATTTGTTATAGGGACCAAACGAGACAGCAAGTTAGGAAACCATTACAACATGAACAACGGAAGATTCTTAAGCAGCTGGAGAAACATCGCCCAACCAAATCTGTCAATCAGAAGCAGCCAGCTGCTGAAAGGACGGACGTTCTCTATGATTTCGTAAGTGCCACCAAACAAAACTAACTTGAACCTGTAAAAATGGCCTTCATTCATTTTCACTTTTATTTTTAGGAGGTATCTCATCTACAAGCAATCTGTACACTATCAGCAGATATTGAAAGTAAGGGGTGTATGCTGCTGATTGTCGACCTATCAACTCCTGGTACAGTCGGAGCAAGGGCTCATGGGAGGAACAAACGTCGAAATCCAGCTCCGTCCAAACCAGACGTCTACAACACTTTAGTGGCTTGGTTTCTGTCTTTGGTGAGTGAGCAGTTCTCCTAATGCGTGCACAGTGTTTGTTATCGCCACAATATCTAAGAGTCACTTGTTTGTGTGTGTTAGGCTGTTCCACAACATGATGAAGAGGAGGGTAGTGCAGAGGTCCCATTCTGGGTTGCAGGCCTTCAGCAGCTGTGGACAGAGGATGGACTGGCTCTGCACGTTTTAGCCGTGGCTCGGCAAACGTACACGCCAAGGGTGAGTAGACAAACAAAAGCGTTACATCTGTAGGCTTTACAATGTCCGTGTTGATGCTCTTCCTCACTTTGTTTGCTTGGCAGAAAAGGGACAGAGACATCCACACGCGGTTCTATAACCATGTGTGCCGGTTCCTCTCTGAGACTTTGCTCACTCAGATCGCCCACTGGCTTCCTCAGCTGAAGAACGTGCTGGACCAACAAACCTACGCCTCACCCATCGATCTGCCCTCCTCCTGTTTGAACTGTTTCATCTCCACCACCACAGACAGAGCGGTAATTGGCTTCAGAAAGTGTGATTCAAATCATGAAAAACTCACTTTGACAGTACATTCATTTGGGTATGCGGAGTCAAGAAGCCTAAAACTAAAGTATGAACCCGGAATGAGCAGAAATCCCCTTTGACATCATTTGTAAAGCACTGATTTTGCATTGTGATTCTGTATGCTGTTATCTTGTATTTCAGGTTATAGTTCGGACATTTAGCCTCAGCCCAGGGTTTTACTGGCAGACTCTGGAGACTCAGGAGCGTGTGTGTAAGGGGAGGGAGAGCGCACAGGAGCTGCACACTGAGGTGAGTATATGATACCCTCAGAAGTGCAGGATCAGAGGCAAAGTAACGCTGAATTTTCTGCTTTTATTTTTGCTGCAGGTTTCAGTCGCTCTGGGGCGCGGAGCTTTCTTCCTAGATCCCCTCATGACACACTACACCCTCCAGCTTATCCTCCACTCAGGGCTGGATGTGTGTGGTCTGAGGCTCCTCTATCCATCACAGGAGCTCCTGGGTGGTAGAGAGGGTAGGCATAACTAAAAGCATCTGCTGATCAAATACTCACACTGGAAAACATGCTGCTCCAAAAACAAGTTAAACAATAAGTGAAAATGTGCTTGGTAAGATTTCTTGAAATAAGAAGGGATATTTAGATAAATCAGATCTTGTAATTAGCTGGGAGAACTTATTTTGAACTTTATTTGACCAGAATCGGGAAATGGTGTGTGACAAAGTAAGCCGCAAATTCTCAAAAGTGTTCTGTTTTCTGATGTTAGCTGGTGATTTTCTAATAAATATGTAAAATAATATGTGTTTCATCTGCGATATAACTCAAAATAAGATTATTTGACTTAACAAGATGATGCATTGTCTACAAACAAGACCCTATATCTCAGTGCAGTGTTACTTCTGAAGTTATTACTGTATGTCTTATATCAGGTGTAAAGACTCTTCTGACTAGATATAAGACTCACATACTTGGCAAGATTTTGAGTTTTTGTCGTGCAATAACTCTCTTTCTGGCTCATTGCTGGCTGTCCTGGATCCAACTATGGCCTCGGCCTCTTCAGTGTCTTTATTGAGCTAAAATAGTCATTAACCCCCCCCTCCCCCCCTCTGATTCACAGATGCTGCAGCAGGTATCCAGAGAACAGATGAGTTCTGCCAGCCTGTTCTGGCCCTTGCTGTCCGTGGCCTTCATGCCCACAAAGTGTTGGCAGATGTAACTAGTTCCTTAGATCCTCTGTTGCTCAGAAACACAGGTCTAGACCCTCGACACTGCCGAGGTCCAGAGTCTGCCCTCTTCTACCCCCCTCCAAAGGCTAGTGGAGTCCACAGGGAGCTGTGCTTTTGGTTTTCAGGAAGAATTCCAGGAGGAAGTGCTCCGAATCACAACCGGCCTCTAACTAGGTTTGTTGTCAAGAAATTATAAAAAGTACAACAACAACAACAACAACAACAACATGTTTTCTTTAATTATATATTTGGTGGTGCGAATTGAAAAAAACAGGGTTAGCACATTTTTTAAATGGTAATTGTTCGAACATTTTTCTTAACATTTCTTTTTATAAATATTAACGTCAAAAAGAAACATAAAAAGCTGACACCCTGTAGTGACTTTTGCAGGCAGGCGTTAACAATTATAACATTCTATAACCAGAATCTTATCAGGCCTAAAGAGTGTTTCTAAGGACATAACAAAGCATATTACCTTCATTACCTGCTTTTTATTTGAATAGACTAATTTCCAGGCGCCTTATTTTGTTTGTAGAGTGGATCCATCAAAAGACAGAACCGAAGACACCCTGTTCAATTCAAGCAGTTCACCGTCCTTACTGTGTGCGACAACAAAAGGTACAACATGGAGCCGGAGCCGTTAGGACAACGTTCGAAAACTGGCTTCTGTCCAAATTCAATTCCATCTTTACTTGTGTTTGTAAGGATGAAATATGTTTACTTGAGTGGGGTTGCTAATCCTTCTCTCCCCCCTACAGCTGACCTTCTCCTGGTGGTCTCTCCAGCCGTGCCTCCATGTTGCTTCGCCCAGCTGCTGGCTGTGTGTGAGCTCAGAGGCTTCAGACTGTTGGGGGTGCAGAGGCTGCAGCTGCAGAGCAGTGGAGCGGCAGCCCTGGGTCTCTCCAGCCTGCAGGTAGAATTAGACATTCAGACTTTGAGGAAAACAGTGTGTATAATATAAAGATACAATATTATTATTACCAAAGCTACCCAGCTAGACATTTTTTGTTCTAAAAACATTCTGAGAATGTTACAGTCATTGTTCTAGGAAGGTTTTCAGCAGGAAGTTTTTGTTTGGTTCCCAGAACGTTCTTCTGAAAGGTAGGATAACGTTCTCTAAAAACATTCTTAAAATCTTTGGTGATAACATTGTTAGAACATTATGCCCTCCTATTCTTAAAACGTTTTCAGCGGGAAGTTTTTGTTTGGTTCCCAGAATGTTCTTCTGAAAGGTAGGATAACGCTCTCTAAAAACATTCTTAAAATGTTTGGTGATAACCTTCTTAAAATGTTTTTGAAAACATTGTTAGAACATTATGCCCTACTATTCTTAAAACGTTTTCAGCAGAAGCTTTTATTTTGGTTCCCAGAATGTTCTTCTGAAAGTTAGCATAACGTTCTCTAAAAACATTGTTAACATTTTTGGTGATAACTTTCATAAGATGTATGAGCGCATTGAAACAATGAATAGGACGTATAAAAACGAATTTATGCATCCCAATATTCACTCACATGCCCTTATAATCACACTAAGGTATGTAGGCCCACAGTATTCATAATATCATATGTGTAAAATGTCCGAAAATAATCACACTTTTTTCTGACTATAAAGGTTGTGTCTCGTATGTAGGTTCTAACTG